ATTCAGCAGATGACCATTTTTGGGAGCTGCTTGCTTCATGCCCACCTTCCCTAAGAAGAGGTGAGGACAGGAGTGGTATAGCACAGGCTACAGCTTTTACAGGATATGAAGTCAAAGCCACTAGACTGCACACATCCATCAAACGCAGTTTACTGTACATAAATCACACATAAGTAAAGTGCATTAGTTTTTAAATTAAAATGTCACCAAAGGGCATAGTTCTTGCTATCATGTAACTAACTTCTGTGCTAGCCTGACCAGGTCTGGTCCAGTGTGCCTCAGACAAAAGCAGGGAGAAGACCACATTCCAACATCATCTCACATCCTGCACCTTGACGCTGTGCATCGTTTCAGCCACTCCAAAGGCAGCCCTGTGTGTGCTGTGCTGTCTGCACACAGCCTGCTACACTCTGAGCTGGCATCCCTGCTCCAGGTCCTGCATAGCCAGAGAGCCACCAGATCCTCCTCCTTGTGAATTATCTCCAAAGATTCTGGTCCAGGTCCTGCCCACGAGCCTCAGGGCAACCTGGCTAGGCCAGGTCTCTGCAGAGAAAATGTGGCCCATGGAAGCTGGAACAGGGAGGGGGAAAAAAGGAGCAGGCCCTGCCTCCCCCAGCCCTCTAGGAGGAGTCGGGCCTGGGGGCCTCTGCTCCCTCTCCCCAGGGCCTCCATTAGCCAGGAGTTTCCCTGGTGTCCCAGATGCCTCACCTGAGAACAGAAGTGACCCAATGAGGTAGCAATGCATATCCACATTCTACAGGTGAGCAGGCTGGGACTTAGAGAGCTTTAAAGGCTTGTTGGAGGTCGTGCAGCCATCTATTAAGTTTCTGGCCCTGTACTTACTGGGGGGCTCTTGTTCCTCACAGCTCACAGTGGGTCCCAGTCAGAGCAGCCCCTGCAGAAGGCCTGTAAACTGTCCACAGTGTCTGGGGTGCTCCTCACGTCCTTCACTTCCTAGACTCTCTAGTGACTCAGCAAAGATGAAATAATGCATACAGAAAAAGGCCGTAGACACCCTCTGAATCCCTGAGTGGGAAAACGAAAAAGGGCAGAGATTATGAACTGATCAGCTAAACACAGTGATCAGAGGCCTGGGCTGGCAGAAGCTGCTATAATTTAGCAGTGAAAGTGGCTGTTCGGCTGCAAAAGCAAACATAGCTCTAATGTTTTGATTGAGGAATTGCCCTGTTTATTCACACAAACTCTCTCCTGTTGTTTGCTCTGATAGAGATGCACAGTTCTGGCTCCTATTGAGTGATTCTGAGCAGCACAGCAGACAGTGTCTACAAAGCTCATTGGAAGACAGACCAGTTCTACGTCCATTTCTTATGCAGATCTTGGTAAAAGTCTGGGCTCTGTGGGAGCTACCATTTCATTAGAAGGGCCTCAGTACAAGGTGGACAATGACCACATGGCCACGTACTATGTGCCACCCAAGCACAGCCCTTCCAATGTGGCAGGTCCTGAGAGCATCAACACAGGGCTCACAGCTGTGGAGGGAGTTCTCTGACACTGCGTTTCCCCGGGAGGTGGTGCCGGGTCCCATCACCTAGGAGATGGACATTGTTCAGTAGGAGCCCCCGGTGGCCACCACTCTCCTTGGTGGGGGGAGCTGGCTGAGGTCCCTGTGAAGGGCTCCTTAATGTCTGGTGCTAAGCCCAGGGTCCCCAGGCTCACTTCGGAGGCGCTCACTGCTAGTGTCAGAGAGCTCTGCCCTAGGGACTGTGGGCAAGCACCATGACACCATTCTGGGCCAGGAAACTTCAGTGTGGCCCCCAAGACGTGCCCCACCTGCCCATCTCCTGTAAAGCTGCATCCCCCACACAGTAACAGGAGCAGGAAAGTGAGGAAGAGTTGCAGAGTTGCGATTTTCCTCCTCCTCTCAGAGAAAGGATGAATGTGGATACAGGATAATGTATTTTCAGCATCCACTATCTTTTCTTCCCACCTTCATTTCTTCCATCCTTTCCTGGCAATGCTGGGAACGATACCCTAGGCCTTACGCATCCCAGGCAAAGTGCTGTAAAACTGAGGATACTCCCAGCCCATAATCCTCACTTTATAACTGATTTTTTATTGGTGTGAAATATGGATAACATGAAATTCCCCACCATAGCCATTTTTACCAGTTCAGTGACACTGAGTACACTCACATTGCTGTAAGCCATCGCCACTGTCCACCCTCAGATATGTCCTCATTTTGCAAATCTCAACCTCTGTCCCCATCAGACACTAAGTCCCCCTAGCTCCCCTCCTCTGAGTTCCTGGAAATCACCATTCTGTAATCTGTCTCAGACTCTGATTACTCTGGGTCGTCACATAGGTGGAGTACTATCCTTCTGTGACTGGCTTATCTCCTTGAGCATAATGTCCTCCATGTTCACCTCCTACTGAATGTGTCAGATTGATTTTTCTCTCTCCTTTTTGGTACCAGGATTGAACTCAGGACCTTGTGCTTGTGAGGTAGGGGGCAGAACCACTGAGCTAAATCCCTGGCTGATTTTTCTTTTTATGGCTGAATGACATTCCACTGTGTGCAAAGACCACATTTTTGTTTCTTCTATTTTCTACTGATGGACACTTGAGTCACTTCCACCTTTGGCTGTTGTGGATAACGTCACTGGACACGTGAGCAGGCAAATATCTCCTGTCACCTTGGCTTCAGTTCTTTTTAGTATGCACTGAGGACAGGACTCCCAGGGATCGCAGGGCAGTCACATCCTTAATCTTTTGAGGAACTGCCACACTGTGGGCTGTGGGGAGGACACTGCTATGGTCCATGCGAGGTTCCACTGATTCTCACTGCCTCAGAGACCTGGGATCAGGGTCATCACTCTACCTGTGAGGAGACCGACAGGAGGGTGAGGGTCCAACGCCTCCCACAGGAAGCCTGCCCTGCTTCCTCCCTCACTCAGACTCCGGCAGGCCAACCAGAGGCAGTAGGGTGATGGAGATGAGGTAGCCCCTGACATTTACCCACCCAAAGAGCAGCTGTCCTATCTCCTGCAGTTCTGGCCAGGTTGGGAGAAGGGTGTGGGTGCTTGGCCATGAGAGAAGCAATTTAGTGGTCAGCAGTGGTATCCTCAGGATCACCTGGCTCACCCCCAGACTCCTCCCTATAAATCGCCCCCAGGGTGACACTGCAGAAGCTTTTACCTCAGAACCTCTTCAAGGACCCTGGAAAATGCTTATATTTTAGGCAGGGCTAGAATGTGAGCTATTGAAAATGAAGATTTTATGTATTTGTACAAATGAGCCTATAAATAAAGTTTATCTCCACCCTTAGGGGTCTGGTCGCTCCAGTTTGGTCCTAGTCACATCTGCATGTTCGTTGTTAACAGTGCCTGCAGCCACTGCTGGCCTCCTTGAAATATCATTCTCATCCGCTGCGGGCCTGCCGTGGAGCGAGACCTCCTTACGGAGGAATTACAGCATTCACATTAGCACACCTGCTAAGAAATTCTTATGCTGGCAACATGCACTTCCCAGAAGTGTTTCATGGAAATTAGATTTTAGGATAACAAAATCGCAGAGGGCTCAGAGGCTGCAGGAGGAGGGGAGCCTTCTTTGTTGCTCATTCGCCCAGTAATTAATTTCTTCCCCAGCACAATCTGAAGATTAATTTATCGCCCACCTGCTCCTCAGGATTGTTTTGATCACTTTTCAACAGCAGACTTAGCATCCAGGAGGGAGGTTTCATCTTCCCAAGGACTGGCAGCTAAGTGCAGCGAGCCATGCCCTCCCAGTGATGTTCATCATCAAACACACCCAGGAGGACTCCCTGGCTGCTACCGCCACCCCGTCATCAGAGCCCCTTGTGCAGGGTCCCTGGGACAACATTGCCCGGCATCGACCCTGCGTCTCCCCTCCTCGGAGTCTAGGAAGTTGTCTTGGGGTCTCTGGATACCACCAGATCCTCTGGTCCCAAAGCTCCTGCATTGCCAGTGACGGGAACATCCCTGCAGAGGAACCAGCCAAATCAAGCCTGAGTTCAGCAAGGGCAGGCAATTCTTGTGGCAAATCTTCCTATCTGTAGCAACTGTGGAGGGCTTGAAACCATCGGGCTAAATCTCACCATCGCCTCGCTTTCAACCATTTGTTATTTTTTATTTAGACATGAGAATTACAACTAGATAACATTTAGAAAATTATATTTAACCCTCATTTAGATTCAATCTGAATCAATTTAATGAAATGCGAACACTTCTCTAGAGTTACAGAAGCAATAAAAGGAAATTTAAACCAGAAAAAAAGCATCTGACAATTTTCCCGTGCCCAGCAGATATGATGCCTGGCTCTTTGGCCAATGATGGAATGATCATTTCCTACTGTAACAGAGCGAGAATGCTCCACACTCCATGAAAGCATGGATTAGCATGCCAGGCACAGTGCCAGCCCCTGGAGACTCAGGCAAGGAGGCCATACCCTTCTTGCCTATAGCTGCCAGGCCAATGGGCCAAGCAGACATTGGCTAAGTTACTACAGCAAGTACAAAACCACAGTTGAGAGGGAGCGTTGCCTAGAAGAAAGGAAGTTTTCCCTCAGTAGAAATCGGGATGAATGTCACAGACTAGAGGGAATAGATAGGGGAAGATCTTCCAGGCTGAGAACAGTATGTGCAAAGGCCCTGCAGCCAGCATTTACGGACACAATGGCTAGTGTGGCTGAGATGGACAGCAGAGATGAGCACAGTCTCAAAGACCTGAAGAGGTCAGTGGCTCAACATGGCAGGTTTAGTCAGGCCACATAGTCCGTGGGATTCTAACCTCCTGGACATCTTGAAAATTGGACCCAGACTGCTAGGGTAGGCCTGGCTCTACCATACATCACCTGAGCAACTGGGCATGTCCCTATAGCCTGCCTGGGCCTCCACGTCCTCTTCTTTGTCTTTAGAGGCCTTAGCGGGGTTGAATGAGTATGTGGAAAGGGCTTAGGGACACAGGACATTCCACCACTGTTGTCCTTGGCTGTCGTCATAATACAGTGATCATTTTCCCCAGGCTTGGAAGAATCTCACCTGTGATGGCACTGCACCATAGAGAGGAGAGGGACACAGATGACCGGGAGTCTTCTGAACGCTGACTTCTGGAGGAAGTGACGCTGTGGACTTGGGTACTCCCTGGCGGGCAGATGCTGGAGAAGGTTCCCGAGGGTGAGGACAGTTGGGGCTGTGGTGTGGAGCTCACAGTGGGCCTCATGCAGGCCTCACAGCAGCTCTGTGCAAGTGCAAAGGAATCCCCTTTTTGGAACTTTGTCACAGTTCCATGATGTCACCACCACCTGTCTGGAATCCCTGTGGTAAGTAGGCTCCTTTCTATGTCTCTGTGTGGCCCTCCCCCTTGGCGCTCCAGGACACGGAACCCTGCACACCCGTCCCACTGAGGTGACCATCTAGCAGGCAATCTCAGCAGTACCGCTTGTCTTAGTCACTTTCTTGTCACTGAGAAAAATCCCTGATGCTCACAACTTACAGGAAGAGAGGTTTCTTTTGGCTCAGTTTCAGTCCATGGCAGAAGTGGTGTGGTGGAAAGGCCAGATAGAGGACAGCAGCTCCACCCACGGCAGCCAGGAAGCAGACAGATGGAGGAGGCAGGGAGGCAGTTAAACCCTTCCCTGTCACATCCCCAGTGACCCACCTCCAAGCTGACTCTGTCTCCTACAGCAAGTCAGTTATGGCACCTCCACGACTGATCACCTTCTACATCCATGAGAGCATGGGGAGCCATTTTAGATCTAAACACACAGACTACTGCTTAAGCTACCTGTGGAAAGATAGAGGGGGAGCTGTGCATGGGGACCATCTTAGAAGACCAAGCCCAAGGTGCAAAGCTGGGAGTCTGTCCAGTATGCAGGGAGGCTGAGCCACGGGGCCTATAGGAAGGGAGAGGGTGGAGAACAGTGCCAGGTAGGAACCCGCCAGTGAGGACCAAAGCTGAGAGGTGTCCCACTCAGGCTCTCTCCGCTCATGGAGCCCAGCCGGCTGGCCGGGGTTCTGCAGGACCACCCTCCCTATTTTGCCATCACTACGAATGAGCAGTGGGATTGCCTGCAGCTTCCTGGGAAGGAGGCAAAGTCACAGCCCCACAGATCCCATCATAAACAAGTGCTGGGGCTGCTTTCCATGTGAGACCCTGGACTGTGTGTGCCAGTCTGCCGGCATGCTAGGAAAATGCCAGTCCTGGTTTGGACCACAGAGGCGGCATCTGTGGCTCCTCAAGCTTCCCAGACAGTCCACAATGGACACCCACTTGGGCTATGCCTGGAGGAGGCGCTGAGGATCTGACTCTCAACTGCGAAAACAGGGATGGCGCTAAAAGAGAGAATGGTCTCACGCACAGCAAAGTTCAGGGGGTTCTCAGAGACAGCGCTGTTTATGGGGAGCTCCAGGACTGGTCCACAGTGGTCTCTGGGGGAAAGATCGAGAGGTCAGACAGCACCTAGAGGGGCCAGGGGATGAGAGGGCAGGGACAAGAGGGTGGAGAACAGGGCGCAAGGACCAGAGGGCAAAGATCAGAGGCCCCAGGGGACCCGGGGACAGGGGACAAGAGAGCCTTGGCAGGGCTTTGAGACCTGGAAGGGATCGTGGAGTGTAGTAGAGAAAAGCAGGGAAGGGATCAGGGGAAGAGAGTGAGTAAAGGGCTGGAGGTGGCAGCAACTTGCTCTCGGAATACTAAATAGCTGCACATTGCAAGACAGGTGGTTTGTAGTAGAATCAGGAGCCAAAGATGAAAAATGAATTCACACTTAATCATGAGGGGCTTTGAAGGACAGAGAAGAGGGGACTCGAGCTTTCTTGCTGCCACTGCAGATATGACTCTAGATCACAGCAGACTGATGGCCACCACGGATATGGCCTGGTCACCAACCTCCAAAAGGTCCTCGTTCTGCCCTCAGGGAGGCATAATGAGTCTCTGACATCCTAGCTGCTACTTTCTGGGACATCTGGACCAAGGAAAGCAGACTAAGAAAGGGAACTGGGTGAATTCCCTATGTGTTCCTAGACTACTTCAGATCCCAGCACCCCAGAGCTGCCAGGCTGAGAGCCAGAGGCAAGAGCAACTCAGCTGCACAGCACAGGGGGAGCACTCAGTGCTGGGATGGAGAGCCCTGGGCTCTGGTCCTGGCTCTGATGCTCTCAGCCCACCCTGTGATGCCCAGCTGGGCTTTCCTCTCCATGGAGGCTCAGCTGGGTGACCTCTCACATCTACCCAAGCTGACCCATCTTTCAGCTCGCCACCACAGGGTCTCTCCCCTGCTGAACCTCAAGCTGCAAGGACATACCCCTCATCAGGGAACCCAGTATCTTTCATGGTGACTTCGAGTCCCTCTTCGGTTGTCCAAAAAAAGGCAAAATACTGAGTTCTTGAAGGACTGAAGAAAGCTAGAGGGTGACAACAGCAGGGACAAGGGGTCAAGTGGTTGAGTGAATATGAGTTGGGGTGACTCTATGTGCCAATAGCACGGAGAAGCAGGTACCATAGGGAAAACTCTGTGGCCACCCACGCATCTGCAGTGGCTGCTCTTTCACTGAGGCACTTACAGGTCCTGTGGACTGTGGAGTAAATATAACTTTTGTGTTAGTGGGGCAAAGGCCACTATAAAAAAGGAAATCAAATTGAGTCCTTCATAGTTTACTTTGACAAAGCACCATGACATTCACCATACACCATTCTTCTCTGCTTGCCTTATGGGAAGTTTTATTAGTTGGCTAGGGTTACCATGACAAAGTACTCAGGTGAGGTGGCTTAAAGACTAGAAACTTATTTGCTCATGGCTGGAGGCCAGAGGTCTGTGCTCAGGGTGTTGGCAGGTCCCAGAGGTCCAGGATCAAGGTAGTGAAGGATCTGGAGGTCCAAAGTTGAGGTGTAGGCAAGCAGCTCTCTTAGAGGCTCCAGACCTCTCTCCCTGGCTTGTAGGCATCTTGTGCTCCCTATGTCTCTTCTTATGGTTTCCGTCTGTGTGTTTCTCCATGTCCAAGTTCAACATCCTTAAAAGGATGAAAGCCTACCTGAAATAAGGTCACATTTGGAGGTAGTTGGAGTTGGGACTTCAACATACAGACTTTGGGGGACACAGCCCAGCCCACAGCAGAGGGTTATTTGAGAAGCATTTCACAGCAAGCTAATTTCAGCCCTGAATCCTGGCCCACTGGAGGTGGGAATGAACCATTCCTGAGGTGACCAGTTGTGCCAGGGTGCTCTTTGGGAGAGCTGATTCATGGGATCCTGCCAGGTACAGGCGACCCTAAGAGTCAGGGGAAGCACATGTGGAAGGAAGAGCTGGAGAGGAGAGGCAAGCAGAGGAAGGTAAGTGCTTTCCCTCCACAGAATATTCCATATCCATTTCTTGGTTCAAACTAAGTCGATATGAGCTTCTCCACACCTGTAGTGCTGTCGAAAGCCCTGCTGCCCTGCCAGCAAGTCTCCAAATCTCATCACCCACCCTCCACCTACTTCTGTAGGGCCAACCCTGCTTAGTGGCGCTGTGGAAGTCCGTGTCTGCTTCTTGGGAAGAAGGTGAGTCTGTTCCCTATCTTACTCTCAGCATTGAAACCAATGAGAAGCAGAGGCTAGGAAAACTGGGAGGCAGTGGGGAGCCTCAGTTCCAGAGTGACAGTGGCTCCATCCCCAGCAGGGCCAAAGGACACTGAATCCCTGGGGGCCAGATGAGCCTTGTAAATAGAAGTTGGCTCAGGTGGTGACCAGGTTTTGTTTCCATAGTAACACCAAATTGTTCAAGGGGACCCTGCTTTGGTTTGCTTTCTCTTCCCAAGACACACAAGGGTGCGTGTGCACACAGATGGCACACAGCACAGAGCACACACATGCATATGTATACACAGCACAATATACACACATGACAAACAGTACTTATGACACACACCCGACACACATAGCAACCACATATGTGTAACATACAACACAATACGCCTATGTGCGCAGTATATATAACACATAGCGTTCCCTCAGTGCACAGCACACACACAAATGACTTATGGAACACCATATATGGCTGAGAGCCTGACTGGGTTTCTGAGTTCGCCCTCCCCACTACCCTGGACACCTGGGGTGGCCCAGTCTCCCTCCTCTGCAGAAGGTGAGGGAACTTGGTCAGCAGAGTGTACAGCAGTCCTGGTCAGCTCCGGGCTCGGGGTCAGTGGCTCCCTGCAAGAGGGCAGTGCAGCCCACAGGCAGCCACCTGGGAGGCTCGTGGAAAAGGGGCTCACGTCAGCCCCGAGCCAGGGCCCAGTGCTCTGAAGGAAGCGTGTGACCTCCCAGCAGGGTGGCCCTCCTGGAGGCATGGAGACTTCAGATTTGGCTGACAGCCATAGGCAACATCCTGACAGCAAGAGAGACACGCGAAGCCCTCCAGCTCACCAGGACCAGCCTCACTGGACACTGTGGTGTAGGAAGAGGTGGTACCTGGTCTGGCAACTTGAGACTCAGGTCCCTTTGCGGTGGAGGGTGCCCTCTCACCCTGTGCCCTGGAGACCCCAGCTGTCCACATTACTGTAGCCAAAACGGGTGCCGCTTACTTCTGAGAGTGTGGACACTCGGCTGCCAAGTGGTTCAAGGGAGGAGGACTTTATGAGAAGCAGGGGACGAGAGCATTGACTGAGAAAATTCACTTTTCCCCTACCTAAGGATGACTCTGAGCACTGTGCTGTTTCTTTAGAGATCTGGTTAACAGATCTCTGCCCTAAATGGCCCCCCTTTAAAATCTGTTGAACAGCCCCCTCCTCCAGGAAGTCCCTCCTGACTGCCTGCTGCCAGGCATTCCCTTCCACAAGCCTCAGAGGGCTGCCACAGTGCCAGTGCACTACTATGTATCCCACTTTTACTTAAGTCATCTCTACCTGAGCCTGACACCCAGCACCCAGAAAGCAGGGACTCTGCTGGCTATTTTACTGTTTCCTTTACATCCCCGGAACTCTCCACCACCCCAGGTCTCCTTCCTTTCTCTCCTCACAGATGCGTTCCCACCATGTGCAAACAAGTGCACACACTGCACCGCCACCGATGTTCCAATCGTGATGGACTTTGAACGGAAATCAGAACCGCTGCTTCATTAGAAAGACTCCTCAGGCAGCCGGGAAAGGGGATGAACTTTGGACCTGCAGTTGGGAAGGCAGAGCAGGACCGGAATACTTGGCTCATCTTTTCCTCGCCTGACTCCTGAGACTCAAGGTCAGGATGCCGAGGAGCCCTCGCTGGCGCTCACTGTGACCTGTCCACCCACCCACCCTCAGTCACGTCAGCCGTTCATCTGGCTCCTCCTCACTACCCCCCTTCTTCACGTCATCGCTTCCAAGTTCTTTTCTTGAAAGCAATTCCTTATGTGTTCATTTCTCAAAAGCATTCCAAGGTCTGAACCGCAAGGGTACAGACTCCAGTCTGCAGGGCAGTTCATGCTTCCATTTCATAGGCCAAACACTTTTGCCAAACTGAGGACGTAAAAGGTGGCACACCCTTGTCAAGCGAGGTCCCGTGATGTGCCCTTGTGTAATCGAAAATCCAGACATGGAGACCAAAGGGATGGGATACTAGGCCTTCTGCCAGGTCCAGGCAAGCGCTTTGGCCAGTGGCTCCTGCTCCTGCTTCTCTGCATCCTCCCTGGGCTTTGGCTTTTCTCTGGGAATTCTTCCAACACACCTGTGGTTTCCTTTCTTCCCAGTCTGATACTTCAGCTGACATTATCAGGAACAAAGCTTGGTCCCCACTTTAAAAATCGGTGTGTAGAACTCTCCTGACTAGAAGGTGCCTGTAATGTGAAATTAAGGACAAGACTCCAGCTTTGAAGCAACCATTAAAGGAATAAGTAATGGAAAGTTGCCTTTCACATCTCACTCATTTTAGACACATTCTAATTAACTCTGCCAGAAAAAATAATTGGCCTAGATCAGGTCGATCTGATTGAGGATTGTAATAACCTCAGCTGAGTGGTATTTATATTCAGCTTCTGGTCTTGGGTGAAGTTACTATGTGGCTTGAATGCTAATTGTATGCTAAGTGGGGCCAAGAACAACACTCAAGCACATCCATATGTCTACTTGCTTTTAGCTTCCTTGTGAGGAGGTGCAGAGAAAGGTTTTCAAGAGTTCATTTTAAGGTGATGGCCTGAAACATGTGTTGTTTCCCAGGAGAAATGAGGTCAGTGTTAGTGGTGAGCTCTCTGGTTGGAGAAAGGTTGCAGAAGCATTCATATAAGCTCTGGCATTGTTGGGAGACATCTGTAGAAACAATACCGTCATGGCCCTGGGTGGCAAAGTCTGTTCCCATAGGAGAAAGCAAGACAAGGAGGAGTCCCCTCCTGGGATAGGGCCCCTATTGGAGCCCAGAGAGATGGTGGGCTGAGTCTTTCCCTCAACTGGCAGGTGGGGGCAGAAGCAGGTGGCTGTCAGCTTATGTGGATGGTTGGTGGCATCAGCTGCCATGGCTGCCAGTGGTGGAGGAAAACCCTCCCAGGTGGGGCTCAGACTGGGCTGGGCTGATGTCTTTGCACAAAGACTGAAGGTGTGATGAGGAAAATCCTGCAGCTGAGGTTATTAACTTGCAGAGTATGGATGCAGCCACACAGAGTGACGAACAGATAGAGCAGGATGGGGTGGGAGGTGGGCTAGAGGCACAGAGTGATCTGGGAGCTGATCTCTTTCATGTGGGGTCTCTGTTTCCTACATTCTCAGCAGTACAGTATTTTGATGTGGCAACTCTCTCCTTGCCCTTTCTGTCCTCTCCCGCTCCTGGTGCCCTGACTCCTCAGTGACCTGTCTATGCCACCCCAGCCCTCCTGGGGCCTCCTGCCTTCCCACTTGGTCTCTTCCCTCCCTCTGCCATGGGCAGACAGGCTCCCTGGGCAGGTGAGCTTAGCTCAAGTGAGAAAGGGCTTTTGTTGTGCTAGCAATGACCAGTCCCCTGGTTGCTTGTCCAGGAGGGTCTGTACTTAGAGAGGTACCTGTGATGCTTAGCCATGCAAAGCGAAGGCAGGTGGTTAGGAAGGGCAGTAAGCACCCAGCAGTCTGGCCCTGCCTAAGAGTCTGTCTTGAACTTTGTGAAAGCAAACCTGGTCCCAGTCCTGAGCCTGGGTTTTCTAGAAGTCCCGGCTTTTCATGGCATCTTCCACTGCTGGGGCAGAAGCTGGACTAGACTAGGGATCAAGATGGGGGTGATATTGATGCCACCAGCTGCTGAGTGCCCCAGGCAGCCAGGGACTGTGCTGAGTATTCTAATTCACAGTATCTTTTAAGTTTCACAGAAACTCTATGAAGAAGACACTCTTTTACTCCCCATGTTAGAGATGTGAGGCACAGAGAGGTGGGTAATTTGGGCCCATGGTGCTAAACTGTGGCAAAGCCAGGATGCAAATGCAGAGCATTGGATTCGGAAGCTGCCCTTTGGCCCAACGTTGTGCCAGGAAAGCCAAGGGGAGGCCTGCACATTCAGGACACAGAAGTGGTGCCATCGGGCAAGGGCTTCGCAGTGTGACCAGAGCTGAGCGAGGGAAACAAAGGAGGCTGAGGAAGAAGAGAAACCCAACACAGAGAACAGCAGGATGCACACAGTGAGCAGAGGGCATGGTTCACCGAAGTTGATTAAAGTCAACCTGAAGGCCAAGCAGGAGGCTCAGGGAGCTGCTAGAGACCGAGGAGATGGCCTGGACAAAGTCTGGGAGGGACGGAGTGGGAAAGGCGGGCAGGAGGAAGCTGTCTGCTCACCTAAGCAGAGGCCGGGGTAGCAGACAAGGCAGAGGGCAGAGGACAGGAGGGAGGGAACAAAGTGGCAAGTGGGATGGCCTCAGGCCTCCTTAGGGAGAGGCAGTGGTTACAGGAGCTCAGCTAGCAAAGAACTCTCTGCCGTCCTTATCCGAGCCATCATCTGGCAGTGTCACTGTGCACCTGACACCCACACAAGTATTCTGATTTTCCCAGCCTTTCAGGTCAGCTGCTGATAGTTCCACTTGCTAGTAGGAGATCAGGCCTGCACCAGTGAGGTGACAAATTAGCAAATTTCAGAGAGGGAATTTAAAACCAGGACTCACCTGCTGCCTTAGTTATAGTCTAACCTGCTGGGACAAAACACCAGGAAAAGGGAGTGAAATTGGATGGGGCTGGGGTCCCAGGCCAGGGAGTGCAGTGGTCCTGCTCCATGGTGTCAGTTCGAGACCCAGACTGCCCCTGGTCACATAGACTGTGACAGCTCAGGGTGCTGTCTCCACCCCTTCTCAAAGCTGTATACTCACAATGTCGCAGTCCTTGTGGGAAGACAGGCTCCAGGCAGATGGCCCTGTTGTGAACAGGATTGTCTCCGATGAGATCCTACTGCTCAGCTCAACTGCCCAGTGGTCCGTCACGTCACACAGCCAGCAGGGACACTGGGGAACCATAGCAAGAGGTCTCGAGCCAGCTTCAGCTCAAGGCTGCCGTGTTAAAAGGAAGAGCCTTACATCTGTTGCCATGTGGCATTTGATACAGCTCTGTGTATTTTCCCAGGGTGACCGGGGACCTGGCACAGGTGAGACAGAGCCTGGGTCTATCTGGGTAAGGGACAGCAGGCTCCTTCACTGCTCCTGGAAGGTGGTGTTTCATGACTCAGGGAGGTGAGGAGGGAAGCTGCAGACTGCACGGAGAAACGTTGTGGAAACCATGTTGATAGAAGATGGTTGGAGGGAGACTCATGTTCTCTAAATATTAACAAAATCAGAATTGCCATGGAGAAAAATGTAAGTACACAAAATAAAGGACAAGAAAAGGAAGGGAAGAAAATTAAAATTAGCTGTTATTTCACCACTGAAATTGGCCTTGATAATCTCTTTTCTCCTATGCATAGAGGATATACAGTCCTGTGTCTGGCTTTGCTCCTCTGGCCTCGGGGGAGAAAAGCTCACATCTGTCTTGTCCTCTGTGCTGTGGCCACTGCTGACCATGAGACTATCTTGTGAGCTATGGCCACAGCCCACTTCCATACAGGGGAAATGCTAGAGGGTCTCCGAGGCCTACCTGTGTCCTGCACATCCTGACTATGTTCTGGACCTCAGAGATGAACCTTCCCACACATTCTCCTGTCTTTCTAGGATCACTGCCTGTTTCATCCAGGGAGTGATGTCACTGAAAATGCTGTGTGGGGCAGGGTGGGTCAAATGTTGTCCGGGCATCTCCAGGGAGGCACAGGGTCTTCCCAGGCCAGACAGAATGTAACTGTAAGTGGTCTCCACAGTCTTCCTCGGCTCCCAAAGAAAACACCACACCCTCTGGGCTGAAGTGGCCTCCACCCTGCTGGATCCTCTGGTTCCTGTGCCTCCCCCTTGTAGCTCAGAGGTGCCAGGAAAGCTGTAGGCTCTAGTTGCCCAACTTCATTCATACCATCAAGGTGGTATAATTTCTTTCTCCTGCAGCCTCTGAAGACCACACAGTGGTTTCACCTCTGTGCACCACAGGCAGCCTCCTTCTAGGTGTCCCAGGGTCAGAGGCCCTGGTATTGGTCTGGCAGTGAGCAGTACGATGTGCCATTCTCCAACCTAGTCCTGACCAGCCCAATCTCCGGCTCTGGTTGTTCGACCCTACTTCCGTGTGTATTTACCACTGTGCAGATTTCAGTCTCTGAGAAGGCTGGGGAGATCTATCACCCCACTTAGAATCATTGTGGCCCTTCCCCCTCTCCCCCGACACCCCATGCCTGGGATATCAGCTTTCCCAAGCTTGTAACAGTGGCTGATATTGCTGTGGTATGACAGTGCAATTACACAATGCTCCCTACAGCGTTGTATGCCTGAGGAGTATCCATAGTGCTTACTATATGCTTTTGTACAAACACTCACCTAATATGTTACCTGTAGTGTGCGCCACAGTGACTGTGCAGTGAGCACTATGGTGATATGCAGTCACTGGGGAAGCCAAGGAATTAACTTGCACTGTTGCAGCAAGAAATCAGGAGCAACCTCCATCTGTTACCTAAAGGACCTGAGGATATTTCCTGGAGGACACAGATTTTTGAAGGGCTGCAGACCCAACAGCCATCAGGCAGCCCCTACTCCCTCGTGCTTGCTCAGAATGAGCCCAGTGGATCCTTGACCACTGGAGCCCAAAATTGGAACAGACCTGACCCCTGTTATAGAGCAAGAGCCATAATACAGATAAATCCAAGTAGAGACTCTTGAAAACCCTCTACCTCAGCCAAGATAGTAGAGAAGGAGCAATCTCTAGGTCAGAACACTGCCCCTAATCCCGGAGGAGGCAGGCATTATGTTTCCTGTTGTGTTCCCATTCAATTTCCATTTCCCCTGCAAAACCAAGGGGAGCTTTGCCAATGAAGATGGACTACGGATCCATTAACTTTTGGAGGTTTGGAAAGCTGGGGGATGGAGTGCAGGTGTCGGGCAGACCTGATGTCTCCCACAGGTTTGACTTCCCCTCAGTGCCTGCCACCTGTGACCTTTCCATGTCTTTCTTGCATGTGACTCCCTTACTCTCTTCTCACCCCTCCTACCGCCTCTGCTGCCTCAGATCCAAAAGTCCACCAGACACCAGCTTCTCTCCCTTTTCTTTCCACTGCTGCACCCCAGTTCCCAGTACCCTCCTGGGCACATGTGACGTGCTCAATAACTATTTGTGGAAAAGCGAATAATTCTGAGGGAGGTTGGAGACACTGTTTTAAGGAGGAAAAGGAATTGGACAGTGTTGACATGAATCCTAGGTCAGAACCAAGACTCAAAGGCCAGGGCTCACTTAGAAGGGAATGGTATCAGACCATGGAAACAGGGTGAAGGATACCAGGATGGATGAAGAGCTCACACACAAGTGCCCACAAAACAGTTTTCAAGCACTCCTTAGTGAAGTGTTGGGACAGGACCCGAGGTAGATTGCATGCCTGGCCTGGGAGGGCAGCACATCAAGAAAAGCATCTCCTGGATAACCACACTGTTGTCTCTAAGATTAATGTATGCCCACTGTTGGAGATTTGGAAATTACCAAACACACAGAAGCAAAATTCCTACCTAATCCCACCATGCAGATGAAATCATAATTAATTCTGTTTTGTGCTTTTTCTCTAGGCAGAGTCATTTAATAGTTCTGTAGCTTCTGAGATTATTCTACAAAAGTGAGGTAGTTATTTTGTTTCTATATGTCTGTTTTGTAGCTTTGTTTATTCAAGACTTCATTAGGAATACCTTTATATCTTTAGATATTTTTGTATACTGTAAATTTTAGTGAGTGTATTTAGTAAAGTGCAGAGCCCACAAGCTATTTAAGTTACATCCAATTATTGCCATTATACGTTACACCATAATAAGAATTAGTTTATTTTTTAAGACTAGGAAGCAGGTAGAGGAGAGCTTGAAGGAATAGGGAAATGGAAATAACTTATGGAAGAGTTTCTGCAGAAATGTGGGTGAGACCAAAGAGAAAGTTTAAGTGAGCCAAACTCGGAGGTCACCCCGTCACCTCCAGGGCCCAGGGTCAGTGAGAATGATGCCGCCAGGTGCAGGCTGATGTCACACCTCAGAGCCCACAGCATCCCCTGTGGTGACAGAGCACAGCTCGTGGAGGGGAAGGAGCCCAGCCCTCTGTGCTTTTGAGCCCCTTGGGATCCAAACCCACCAAAGCTAGGGATCTCACCCTCTGAGCTATACTCACAAAAAATATGAAATTGGAGTCCACTGTAGCCTCTTAAACTTTTATAACTACAGAAAATATGGGGCATAGAAGGATGTGTTGAATGACCCAATGAGGCATCAAACAAACCCAGAAAGTGATATAGAGATATATATGTATGTATATGAGTGTGTATGTCAGTCACCTGGGCAGCTCTGCCACGATGTAAGTGTGTGGGAAATGAAATGGGAGGCAGTCCATGTAAGATATGACAATTTAAAAGATCAAGAGCCAAATGCAAGTGGTTTCAGGCCAGAGTGCTGGGCTCCTTGATTGGTGCAGATGATGCTGATGAAGGTGGGACCCTGCTTAGCACCACTGGAGGGCATCACCATGAAAGTGCACAGTGTCCGTAAGCTAACCAGATCTCCCGAGAGACAGGAGGCTGACAAGGACTGGGTGGAGACCCTCATGGGAATGGTTCCTGCTGGGCAGCCACATCTCTTCTGGTTTGGTTCTCTGCAGTGGATTCATGTCACACATGTGGCCAAACAGTGGGTCCCGATTTTATCTCTGTCAGGCTGATTTGGATTTGGAAAAACTCAGCTGACCCTGGCTATTTGGCTTTGAGGATGGAAAACATGGCTCTTTGAACATCTCTCCCTTTGGCAGGAGGCCTGAGTGAGACAGGAATGTGGGGCTTCCTGAAGCTGCTGTCTCTTCTCATCTTTGTTCCTCTTTGTCATTACTCTACTGACAGCCACAGTTCCCCAAAGGAGTGAGATGTTAGAACAATTGGGTCTCTCTGCCTAGATGTGTTGTTGGCCATGGGGGCACTGGGCAGAACAGTTGGGCAAAGAGGGAGGGGCCTTTGTGCCCTCACAGTCCAGAGACCTAATCTGCAAAATCAGAAAGCTGGACTCTCATGAAGGGAGCTGAGGTCAACTGCACCTCCAGGTTAATTAGATAATGACTACTAATAGCTAATATTTTATTGACTTTTTACTATTTGCTAGATACTAATCTAATCATGGTGCCAATTAACACACTCATTTAATCCTCCTAGCAACCCTGTTACATATGTTTTACAAAGAAATGTATAAGAAGGTTAACCCATTTCCCATTTAGAAAAACAAAACAGTGTTCATTTAACTTTCAGGAATCAAGAATACTATATTTTGCAAAGGGAGCTACTACTACTACTAAAAACAAGATGTTACAAATAGAATGATGTCCTTTGTTTCCAAAGACTAAACTAGAGTGATGCAAAATATTAATAAAAGTGAGTTACGTTGTAGCAAACTTTGGCAGTAAGGTGAGGACTGTAATCTGAGAATTATCTCAGAGTAAACACTGCGGTCACAAGTGCCACCGACAAATGTCCCGGGGCAAACAGGAAGTGGGTTAAGAAATCTATTAGTAAGCACCCATGTTTGAGCCCAAGAAGTATGAGCTCAGAGTCCAAAAGAATTCAGACAAACCAGTAATTTAGAAGAATGGGACTGCCCTCAGGAGCAGGTCTGATTGTCTTGGAACTTGGGGATGAACTTTCACTTCCAGGAACTACAGGGAAAACGTGGAGCAACCCCACCCTGGAGAACAAATACCGGAGAAAGTCTCACATGTCACTGACAACACCAGAGAGCTCTCCACAAAAGGAACCCAGGAGGAAGCAAGGTGTCTAGCTGCTCTTCCCCAAGGATTTGTGCAATCTGAAGAGCGGAGACATTGGCCAGTGGGAGGAACTCATATTGGAGTGATTGGTCCCACCAGAGTGGCTGCAGCAAGTCCCTTGGATCAGAATGGGTGGCTCCCTGAGTATCAGGGTGAACCAGCAACAGAGCAGGCACCACAGGCTCTGGAGCCCAGTTGTGACCCATTCATTCCAAACTTGCTTGGATTAAACTGGCCATAGAACTGGACAGATTCCTTGATACATATGAATTACCAAAGCTGAATCAAGAAGATAGAATAATTCTAAATAATCCAACTATCAGTCAGTGAAATTGAAGAAGTGATTAAAAAAAAAAAATCTACCAACGAAGAAGAGCCCAGGTCCTGACAAATTTATTGCTGAATCCTATAAGAAATTTAAAGATCTAGTGCCACTACTCCTCAAATTCTTTAATGAAATTGAAAGGAAAAACAATACTCCCAAGCTCAT